GGGGGGGGGGGGGGGAAACAACAAACAAAACAAAACAAACAGAAAAATTATATTTATGAATTGTGAATCCATGTTAGTACAGCTTTTTGGAGAATTTGTTTGTCAGCACTGACTGAAATATATTGCGGGTAGGACACACATTTTTGATGCATATGGAGACCGAGATGTTTGTTTAACATGGCAGTGTAGACTACTGTGTTGCAAAACTGTATTCACCCTGGAACAAATAGAGTGAGGGCTTCTGAGGAGAGTCAGTTACTGCAGTCACTGCACCATTGGGAAGACAAGTTCATTGGTCATAGTAATTGGCTTTGCATCTAATGAAAACGAGACTAGCCATGGCAGGTAGCTGAAATATGAAGGCTAAATGGGAGGGAAACTCTGTTTGGATAACTGAGTTGAATTTTGAGAGCACTTAACACAATCCCTGGGTCTCAGATGTTCTAAATTACACAGGGACAGAGACTGGGGAGCCTATTGTACTCTGCTCAGCATGGTATTAACTGGATTACAACTGGAATGCAAACCTTGCTAATTTATTTATCTGTCATTAATCATGGAAGAGTGCATAAACTTCATAGATGGTCGTTTGAACCCTTCACAAGGTCAAGTTTCAAATTAACAAAAACCATATGGTACTTCTATATTTGGCTGTATATATGCTTCAATCTAGTTGAAGCTATAGAAAGCAGAAAGATAGAACTGAATCTTCATGCTTCGGGAGAATTTCACCTTTAAAAGGAAGAGCAGATAGTCCTTATAATTTTAATGTATTTTTAAATAAGCAGTTGGTTCACTGACCAATGTTAACAGAAATAACTTTAAAAGTCTCAGGTAACAACTTGACTCAATATTACTGCAAGCAGTTAAAATTCAAGACCTTTACTTTATTCTGCATGCATTTATATGATACTTACCAAGGAGTTTGTGTCTTTGTGTTGTATGACTTTAAATACGTTTTTTGAATAATCAAGTGAATCCAGGACAATGATTTTTGCAAGCAACCTCAAAAAGAGTTGCAGAACTGCTTCTGAATGGAGGTAGAGCACTATTTGCCTTAGTCTTACTCTACTGAACATTGATTTTAGGGAGCTGTCACTTTTCCCCCATACCTGCAGTCTGACATACCCGAGGGGGTGATAAGAGTTTATGCTCCACTGCATTCAAAAGTCTCTATGGCAATTCAACTCAACAGCCAAACAAAAGCCAAAGACATCCTGGCTCGATTCCACTGTGAAAACAGGTGGGTAAATCAGAACATTTTGTTTTTCCTGAAGAATAATTTCAGAACCATTAATTAATAGATTGTTCCCTTTTCAAAGACTCATTGTGTTACAGAACTCTTTTTCTAATCTAAAATTTCTAATTTATGGTTATGTTAGTAAAAAAAATTTTAACAACTGATTTTATTCTTTATATTTTACTTAATAATTGGCTCCTATACAGAATCAATCTGGCCTCTGTTATGCCACTACTAAAAACATACATTTTATAGACTTGCTGAATAGAGAACCCATAAAACGTTAATGCTTTTATTTCTGTGAGGTGATAATTATTAACAGTTATGGGAAATGGTAAATTCTATCTGAAAGTCTTTTCTGCAAAGTCTTCCCATGTTACTACATAATTCTGTTCTTTAAATAAATAATTAAAAATAAATAATAAAATGGAAGATTTAGTTAACTGCGACACAATAATCTACCTCTGTAGCAGATTCAGTATTCTACAGTGTTCCATTTGGTAAAAGTCCGTGCTTTTGACAAGTTCACAGGGGTTAAAATAGCAATTTTTAGCTTAATGTAGATGGCAGTTGATTAGGCAGTGGTTATAACAGAAAGACAGACTGAAGGTTTTCTTCCATCCTAGCCGCGGATCATCACAGAACACGAGAGGCCAGATCCAAAGTTTACATGAAATTGGAGGAAATATAGGTAGGTCTCGTTTTTGAAAATTCAATTCTGAATGACCGTAGCCTCCTAAAACACCTCAGGGCAGTGCTGTTTTCACACAGCTTGGTGTCTTCTACCCTCCAGCCCATCTGCAGGAAAGGAGACTGACCCAAAATCTGTTGATACCAATGTAACGGTTCCTTTTGACTCCGGCGTGACTGGAGGGGCACCCTGCAGGAGATAGTGACCTGATGGCTGGATCTCAGCAGGACTCCTGACAGTCTTGCCAAATTCATCTGACCTTTCGCTTACCACTTTCACTCATGATTGAGTATTTTTCCATGGTTAAGAGATCCTTAGTCTTCCTCTCGTGAGCACATTCCACTTTGCTGTCAAGCCTTTTCCCAAGACCTATTTCTTTCTCACTGTATTTAAGTGTTAACCTCCCTCAAACGAAAAAACACTGAACTGAGAATTCAGCCCCTGCATGTATGGGTGTACTATACTCGTACTAATCCGTGTGCTTTATTTAGATTGTATATTCCCTGCAGTAGGGATTTTGTTTTCTTCTGTGTTTCACGCAGTGACATTTTTGTAATAACAACTGTGGCTTTCCACACAAATTGCTGGCCTAAAAAGAGGTCCCAAACCAGATTTTAGTTTGATCTTGTACAATCCTGACTCTCTTTTCTCTAATACTAAAATTCTGGATGGTCTGTTGGAGACTTCTGTCAACTGTCTGATTAGATTATTCCTTAATTCTTCTAGATTCAGCTCTGAACAGTTTCTATAAAGTTGTTACAACACATTACAGACTTGCTTCAGCATCAGTCAAGAAGCGAAGTCTTTATTACTGAAGATATACAAAGCTAAATCTCATCAGTGATTTGTTTTGCCTGTCTAAACAGAGTGACCAAATGATGTTAAAACAGGAGATCCTAAGGGTCCAATCTCAAGTATTCCCACCACACTCTTTCAAAAATCTGGACATTTAATTTACAACTTAATTTAAACTTAGTTTTTTAGTCATAGATCTTTCAGGGTACTTTAGTCCACTGATTATGCATTAATTCATTTATATTGCTTTCATTTGAATAAAATCATTAGGACCCCAGTGACTTTCTAAGTAACTACAAAAATTTTACCATAATCCTTTGTGTCACAGCAATGTAACCTCACCAGTTAAATGGCTTCATCATCCAGCAAAAATGCAATATAGTTCAACAAATCAACTTAACTGAAGAGTTTATTGCCTTATTACTCAATTAAAAGGCACCAAATGGCTCTTTCTGTGGCAAAGGCAGAGACTCCCCTAACCACCCAACTCCCAGTCACCACCTAACGAAACCCTCAAACAACCAGACTTCAGAGGACTCTTTTTTTTTTTATTTTTAAACCAGCAAAACAGCAGCTGCCAAAAACCTTTATATAGTCCCTATATTTCTTTGCAAAATCCTAGCTGGATGGGAACACCTGGTTTACAGAGCTACTTTTTTAGTATCTAAAAATAGTATAGAAACAAAGTCACAGAGTTGTAATTGAGCACAGTAAATCCAAAGAAATAGAAAAAAGACCTACTGTGGCACTTAGAGCAACAGTGGTGTTAATGTGTAATATCTGATCACAGTTTGATTAAACGCCTTGTCCATAATTCAGTGTAGTGCAGGGCATCGTGTCTGGAAGTGAAAGTGGATTCATGACTCTCACTGAGTAAAATCACTGACAAAATTACTAAAGCCCTTGTCCATATCCAAGCAAGATGTTTAGCTGGACAAACCAAACTAGGCTCACTATGTGCAAGTTGGAGATACATTCAAGGGCATTTTAACATAGCTCTGTCCCATTTACTAATGAGCTCAAAACATCCTGTGATTCATGGCTGTCGATTTCTATTTCAGGTCAGCACTGTTTGGACCCAGATGCATACATGTTAGATGTTTATCGTGCAAATCCTCAGGCAGAATGGGTAATAAAACCAAAAGCAAGCTGAAGCAGAAGGCTGCAGCATACTGGACAAAAGCCAAATTGACAACAGTGATGCCTGTCATTTTTAGAACTTCTTGGCAGAGACGGAACAAAATGGTAGCTACAGGACATCATTCGTTCCTACTGTACTGTCCAACTGATGTTCGCCATATACTACTTTTGGTATAAGCATTATCACTCCAGTTTCTGAACTGTCTGAAAATATTACATCAGTTATGCTTTTATATGGGTTAGACTTGTGCCAGTTGGCCCAGGAGTTAAGGACAGACCAAGGTACGGTGCACAGAAAACAACCACCTGTCACATGGAGAACTGGCTGTTTTCTGACCTGGTGGTAGGACATGAATTTTTGGAAAGAATCCAGTGACACCCATGGATGCATGAAACACTACCAACCACAGCATAACACAGAAGCATCACGGACTTCAAAGAGAGAAGGTATCTGTCAAGCGTGGAAGAGAGGAGCTCGACCTGCAGCAGTGCCAGGACATAGCTGTGTGACAAAATCAAACCTTTCTGCTGAAAGTAAACCTGTACAGTGTGCATTACTGCAATATTTATGTCTCTGTCACTCCTCATGAGTACCTGATGCGGGGGGAGGGAGGGAGGCAAGAACTACTGTATAGACAGCTATACTGCTTTATGTATGTACCACTGTATATATTACTACAAGTGTTCCAAAACCATCTGTCTAGATCACATTACTGTGTGCAATTGTAGCATCACAAACTTTTTTCGCCTTCCTTCCCCTGTCGCACACACAAGCTTCAGGAGACAAATGCTAGGTGAGAAAGGGCATATTCCCCTGGCTCTGTCTTTTACTTGATATTCTCAGATTTAAGTCTGTAATGCCATAATATGTGTTAATTATGCCACTTACAGCCATCATCTTTTTTGTTAAACATTATAGTTTTTTTAATTTGTAACCTAATTCTTTTTTGTTTATTTTAGCTTTAATATGTAAGCAACTTTTATACTATTCAGCTGCATTGAGAAGAGAGATCTTTGTCCAGATCTTGTATAATATAGCATGGAGAAGGAAAAGAGCTTCCAATGAGCTGAGGGATTTAATACTCTTATTTAACACATCAGGGCCTTAAAACCATAGCCAAACTAGGCCCGGTTGTTCTGGGGGTTTTACAAACACATAGCAAAATGCAGCTCCTTTTATAGCTGGCACGCAGCCTATGAAAACACACAGGCTGACAAGAGAACAGTGGGCTGCAATCGCACTGGGAATACAGCATAGCAGATGTAAGATTATGTCTACTTTGTAGCCAGTCACAAGGATCACTATTCTTCACCTAATTCTCTCATTTTGGGCTATACTTTATAGAACTAAAGTGTGTTTATTGAGTAGGGAAATCACAAGTCTCTGGAAAACAGCAAGGATGGTGGGTTTTTTTACACCTTTGCCTTGTGCAAAAAATAGGAACTAATGCCTTCAACTGCACAGCAACGTCTCTGTCATTGGATGATGATATTGCATAATAAATTCACCCACAGCCTCAGCAGTGGGTTTTGGTCCTGATCTGGACACAGATGAGGCAGAAGCTGGTGCTTTGTTTACCTGGTAGCAATGTAAAAGCATTCTGAACCAAATCCTCCAGGTGTTCCGCAGAGAAAGCCTGTAACTTGCGACGGTCTGCTGAAGCTGTGCGATGAAGATTTGCACATTCTAGAAACCCTGCTTCTGGTTCAAAGTTAAACATGTTCCCCAGTAGTTAACTTTCATTGTTAGTATTCGGTGAAAGAATTAGTAATTTTACCAGTAACAGTAAAGTCTACAGAGGACAGATCTCGCCTTTCTTTTTTACCTTGTTGAGGCTAAAAATTGGTTAAATTTAGCAACATTATCTTTTAATTTTCTTTAAAATAGTGAAATTTTAAGTTAGCTTTTTTTTTTTTTTTTTCCTGAACACTAATGGGTGCATATTTGCAGCCAGAAAAAGACCAGGACACTTTTATTATAAAATACACTGCTTAGTTTGACAACTATTTATTTTAAGCATATTAAAGATAGATCTGTGGTTTGTTCATAGGACTAAGCATAACCCTTTTGTCAAGTGCTTTGTTCCTGATTCTCTTCCATTCCCTCTGTGGCAATGGACAACTCTTTCTAATATGCTGCCCTTCTGTTTTAGCTGTAAAACAGGATATTTTCCTTATAAAGGTAACATGAGAATTAGTCGAGTTAAATTCTGCTCTCAGATACAGCTAAACGATTCCCCAAGCAGAACAGGAGTTATAAACATCCATCTTGGAAGGACGAACTCAGCAAAGGGATTTTATGTGGAGAGTGCTTTGAATATGAAGAGCATCATATAAATGCTAAGCATCATTGTATTTATAGCCAATGAAAGCTTTTATGACTATACAGAAAGCCTAAGCATTAACTAAAGAATTTGAAATATTGTAGCAAATGAGATAACTTTCTACAGGAGTTTCAGACAAATACATTGACCTCCTCCATCTTGCCTGCTCCCTTACTTTGTGTTCTCAATGCCCATGCAAGGGAAAGTTCAGAGCACATGTGTTCACACCATCACCATGAAACGATGACTTAATCAAAATTATTTCTGAAATAGATCTCACTGTATTCCATACAGGATACAAGGGCTTTTTGGAAGACTTTCACTGTTTACCACTTTGCAACTTAGGAAAGCCAAATCGGATGTAATGAAATCCATTCTGTGAACACTTGTTTTATACTAAAATCGCTTATTACTTTAGAAGACATGCATATTAGCAAATGAACTAGATTGTACGTACAGTGCCTAAACTACTACATGGCCAAATACCTGCTGTCTCTGAAACAGAATGGCATGGCAAAATTCTTTTTTGATACAAATGGAGCTAATGACCCATGTGTACTGTGGTTAATACTGTTACACATTAAGTTGTTTTGTCTTGTTGTGGTACGCTAACTTGATTTAATATGCAGCAAACTAAACAATCTCTATGACATTTTTGAATATGAGGTTTCAACTTTAGGCCTTATATTTTGAAATGCTGGTGGAGGCACTGGGAATTTTGTTCCTCCTAACAGCAATTGAAGTCAAAATCAAGTCATGGTAGGACTGTCACCTAACAAAAAGCAACATATGTGGAAAGCTATTAAGAAAGTGGCAGCAAGCGGGGAGAAACTTAATCAGCAAACTCCAAAGATGCCTCAAGAATTTATGTACTCTATGGTTCTACAAAGACAGCATTTTGCATATCAACACAGAGAGTGTATTGCAAGAAGTAGGTATTGGAAACAGACTGGAATGCTCTAACCTATTCGTGCAGCTAATGTCATTAGAATGTGTGCATGTGTGCAAATGTGTCTGTGTCTGTGTACAATATTAAACTACCTCATTCCACATTTTCCAGGAAAAATATTTTGGCTTAGAGGTTTGCTATTCCAAAACTTTCTATTATTAATAGAAAATAAAACCTCTCCACTAGTCTTTTACAATGATAAAATGTTTCTCCTTCTAAGGGGCAAGGTTTGGAAATTACCAAAAAAATATCAAGAGACATATTTCAGAATATGGACAAAATTTTATCCAAACCACGTTGCCTCAATTACTGATTATAACATGAACCATATGAGATCAGATCTTGGGGTTAACAGACAACAAATATAAACATACTGTGTTTCAGTTTTTATTTTTCTATGGCTTTCCATTAATGAGTGTCTTCTCTAGAAAATAATACAATGCCACTAATCAAAGCAAAATGTTTGTATGTATGTTTCTCTTATAATCCTCATTATGTGTTTTGTTGAAGTAAGCCCACACGTTTAAGTGTATTTGTACAGCAGAATGTGTCCATTGTATTGTATCCATGTCAAAAATAAAAACAATACCAACAAAGAAAGCTCTTCAAATCTAAACACATGGTTTTCACATAGAAGCAGGTGACAGAAATTGAAAAAAACAGTTGTGAATCTGTCTTAAAAGCAATTCTGTTGTGATAGCACCTGAACAGCTACACAGAGGACCACATTCTGCCATCCTTCCTCGAGTAGAGCAGTTCTTTGCTCTCAGACTACCTCGATGGAAGGTACAAAATGACGCTGCTTGGAACCCTGCCACACTGAAAGCAATGACAAACTGCTTTAGGGTTTCACCTGAGCCAGTGTTTTTTAAACTAGTATGATGTACGTAGAGCAAAACTGACTTTAGAATGAATTGTAAAAATTCATAGTAAAAGCCAAACAAAATTTTAAGAGGCAAACAAAAATACTGCTAGTTCAAAAGGAAAAAAGGAGATGGAATTGACTTGTAAAGAACTATTATAGGTGCATCTTGAAATACGAAACATGTTTGTCACTGCTCAGTGATCCAGCCAGTTGATGAATGAATGTCCTTACCTAGGTCTGATCAAGCACATGTCCCCCAAACCTGGCTCAAGCACAACTACTAGATGACTCATTTTAGAAATAAAGGCAGACACAGTAGGAAAAGGTAAAGACAAAAATACTGACTGGTCTGTGAATTAGGAATCGCACAGTACCAAAGGTCCTTCCTTGTGTCCTGTAAGAAATACAGTTTTCCTAAGAAAGATGTATTAGTTCTTATTGCCAAAATACATGGTTGTTCCCAAGCTAGATCCAAATTGTTTTGTTGGTAAAAAAACATTTCATATGTGTCTCTCTGCTGTGGAGTTGCTGCTTGTCCTGTAGCCGACGACATGAAAACATAGCAGGAACATAGTCCTAGACAATGTGGCTATAACAGGTGTTGGAAGCACTGGATATTAAGGCAGAAGGAAAAGGGATTGGAGCTATCATGTAAAGTATAAATAAGAAAATTCTTTTCATTAGACTCTGAATCCAAGATCTTCAAAATTACGTCTTTTCCCTCCTGCTCCCTCTGCTGGAGGCTATCCACTTGTACTTTTTAATTCTTAAGTCTTCTGTCTCTTCTGAAATGTATGGACAACTGAACTACATGAAATAATGCACAGTTTATTGTAGTTTTATTATGTGGTCCAAAATTATTACCTTTTTATAAAATGACCAACACAAAACAAAATGAAATACTGTCAAAAAATCAAAAGAAAACATACTGTAAACAATGATTAATACAAATTCCCAAGTGAAAAATACGCAATTAATGCCATTAACATTGTAGTAGAGGTATTTGTTGTTTAAAACCATTTAGTTAAAATGCAGACATAGAGCTTCTGACAAAAAAAAAAAAAAAAGACCTGAGTTGGAAAACAACCAGAAAATCAAAGAGATGCAGGCTCTCACCAATTCTTTTCATTACAAAAAGAGAATGAAAAATAACAGATCAACAAAAAAACCCTCTCTCAGTCCAGACAGGCTTTGCTGCAGTTCAGTGCTCAGCCCCAGGGCAGGAATGAGGAAAGACTCCACGCAGGTCAAAAGCTCTGCTGAAGTCAAACAATTCTGCCTGTTGGCCCTTTGTCAACACAAGGTTCCTCAAACAGCCATGGAATGAGATCTTGCTCGTGAGGCAGTTTTGCTTTACATCAGCTGAAAAACAAATGTGAAATAAGTAGAATCTATTTCCAGCAAACTTAACAAGACAAAGATCCAGGTTATTATTCAACTGCTTCCCCTCCCTCCTAAATGAGAAATAAAACCAACACCTGAAGAGCACCGAGTTCCATTCATGTTTGGATGCTCAGGGACAGGACATCCCACCATGGACAGTCACTGCTGCCTTCAAGCATAAGCCACACACTGGCATAACTTGTGCAAAGTTTGCAGAAATACTTTGTTCCAGGGACAATGGGAGATAAGAGAGGGGGAAAAGAGAGAAGAAAGCCACTCTACATAAGTATCTACAAAGTCAAAATTGAAACTGGCAGAATAGGAAGCAACAGCTGAGCTGCAGAGTCATGGATTCCACTCACAAACCAAAATACGAAGTTGGTAGAGAGTCCAAGTTTTTTTCATACAGCCTGTGAAAAAATTAATTTCACTACTGCAGTACTCAACTGAAGAATTTCTCTCTTCTCTATGAACCCTAATCTTTATAGATGGAGCACTGAAGGAACAATTAGTATCACATTACCCCTTTTTAAAAAAAAATAAAAAATAAAAATTTTCATAAGATGCTGATAATGCTGCTTTGGTATTCGAGGAAGACCAAATACTAATCAAGATCTGGTTAATTAGCAGTAATTCATTTTTCATAAAGCACTGAATCGTTGTTCAACAGAAGGCCCTGTAACATTTCAAGCTATTATCCCTAAACCTTTCCAAATATTTAAAAGCTGAGTTTGCCCTTCAGACCTCATCGCTGTTTTCACACAAATGAAAATATCTGAATTGATAACTGTAACAGCTGTTTCAGACACAAATGTATATGGACAATTTATGCTATGTTTAAATGCATAAAATATTCAAAACCATACAAAGCTTACTCATTCCCAGTACTGATGTGTTCATTAAAATATGCCTGCAAAAAGGCCAAACTCACGATGTTCAAAATTCGATCCTTTTAATTAACACATTGTCTTGGCTGAAACTATCAACTAATGAGTTGCACATCTTAATTGAAAAGTAATTGAATTATATATTTTTGTGTTAATATCTTTTTATATTACCATCATAGTATGACTGACAGACTTCAGAAGGGAACTTGCACAGTATGAGGGAAATACATATACATCTGCAGCAGTTTGACTTCTGCCTGCACAGTCACCGGCTCAAAACATTAGCAAAAGTAAAGCAGAGAAGAGCACTATAGAAACCTTCCTTAGATGAATGCAAAGGAAAGCCTTCATATGAATCTGACTGCATGAGAACCACACCTCAACATACACAGGCAGGGATGTTGTGAAGCCTGAGAGAGACTGTGAAAGACAAACCCCGTGGAGGAAATTGTTCTCAGAAACTAAGGAACAGGTTTGTGTAGGAAAGTGATATGAGTTCAGCTGATCTTGCCAACATAGTCAACAGCTAAATGCAGTCCTCCACAAAGACAGAATACACAAATATTAACATACTGTGATCTCAGCGACAATGTGGGAAATGGTAACTATGACATAACTTAATAATGAACTTCATGAATCAGAGAGAGAGCATGAGGGAAAGGCAGCAGGTTTGGGGGGAGAGAGTCCATGTGTTAAGAGTCATTCTTATGGGAGAGCAGGAGGGAGAGGAGGGAAGAGAAATATTATTGTACCTACCAGGATAGCCTCCAACATAAATGGGATTGTTTGTATCTGCAGATGTTGACTGGATGTAGGGATTATCAGTCTGAACCAAATTCCCATCAATTATCAGCGAAATGCGATGTTTGCTTTTGTTTGCTTGAAGCTTGTGCCATTTTCCATCACACAAACTATTTGTGCCTCTTGGTTCATACATAGCTGTCATTCTGCCAGCTCCATTGTTGACATGGAATAAAACCTGTATAAATAGCCAGATGCCAATAAAGATACATGAACTTATTTGCCTAGATAAAAGCACAGTCATGCTGGTGCAGAGATTTCCATTTCAGTAAATGTTTGGTAATCATGCAAAGCTAATATTTACTTTGATGGATAGAGTGCATCCTTATTAAGTATCTTTAAAATCTAAGTTATTTAGATCTACCCATGCAATGGTCCGCTGGGTGAGTTTTGGTATACTTCACTTGGAATTTCAATGTTTCTTACAAATACAAATCAAGTAATTTTCTTACAGAAGCTGAGACTTCAAATCTGAAAAAAAGATCCACTGTATCTAACTGAAAAGAAAGAATGGACTGAAAGCACTTCTTACTGACAATACATGTATTGATTTATTTCTTGTATTTATTTTTCAAAGCAGTAGACATTTCCTCAACTCTGTGATGAGGATTAATATGTAAATATTAACTGAGGAACTATGTTCCACAGAAACAGTGATACTTAACTCTGTCACTAGCTAGGAAGTTTTGAATAAAAAATGAGCTATTTCTGAGAAAAGGAAATACTTAAGAGCAAACAAGTATACATCTTTTATGCAGGAGATGAGTGGAGAATTATGTATTGATTGTTAAAAGGTTTATGGAGCATAATGGCCAGTACTAGTAGAGAGTGAGTTAATTGCTCATGAATACTGACGAAGAGATTACAGTGTGCTTTGTATTACACATACAGTAATATGTTTATAAAGGACAAGTGTAGCTCTGTGGCAGAAAAAGCATTAAGCTACAAGAAGGGTGTATATACAGGGCAGCCTACCTTTCCATTTACAATCTCCAGTCCAATGGCATCAACCTTAGCACTGCTGACCCCAAGGAGAACACCATGCACCGCTGTTGTACGAAACTCCAGTGTGATATTCACATCAGAACGCACTTTGTAACCTTCTCTGACTGAAAAGAAGTTATAAGCTTCTAACAGAAGACTTGTAACCAACAGTACAAAATAAATACATATATTGTCACTAAAAGGACTAACGAACTTGTTAATTACTCTGCTGTGATATGACCTTGCAGAACCACAGGAAAGTTAATTTTTCCAAAGTCCTAATTCATATTTAATACTGAAAAGATAAATTCCCAAGTAAGTTTTCTTTCATTAATTTAGATTTAATACCTTCTATCTCATTTGTAAGAAACAGTAAAGAGCACAAATGTAATCATTCATGTTACTTCACAAGTCCCCTATGTCTTTTGTCTCTGTACTTTTTAACAGACCTTAATATCACGAACATAGATATTCTTAGCTGAAGAAAGAGGTAGTTCATTTCTTTCCCAGTGCTAGAATCATTAGCTCTTTCATTTGTGGAAGATAACCCTTTGCAGAAATGACCACTTTGGGACATATGGAATAAAGGGACTCAGTTAGAAATACATATGCAGGGCATGCACTCTTTGTGTGAGGAGTCAGTTAATTACACACAGTTCCAGCAGGACCTAAAAAGAGTACATTAACATTAATTCAGTAAGGTACTGCTTTAATTTAATGACACTTACCAAGAGCAGCAAAACCACTCCCATCAAAGAAAGTACCGTCCTGCACTGTTACATAGCACTTATTCACAGCAAAGATGGAGATAGGGCTCTTGTCATCCAGTTGTTTGCTGTTAATCGTCATGTTACCAATGCAGGCAGGAATACTGTGAGTCACCTAAACATATTGAAAAATAAAAGTTAATGTGGAATACAAACTGCTGCAATGCTCTCTTAGTGATTCAGCTAATATTACTGTAAATAAAATTCTCTGTACAAAACACAGCAGGATCTAAAATACGTATGTAATTATATTCCTGTTATTACATATATAAGGTTACAAATGTACATAATGTCTTAGAGTAAAAAAAATAGATTAGAAACACAGTATACACTTTCTATAACATATAGAACTATATTTGCTTGAATGTGAGCAGGGATACGCCTAACAGTTAAAGACATTCCAAACATGCTTCGGCAAATTAACAAGTAAATCAAGATTTTGTATGACATTTTGCAAGTATAAGATCACCAGAGTCCTATCCAGCAAAAAGATTCATTAGAATTTCTCAGTATTACTATTTTCAGCAACTGTAGATCCAAAATATTAAAATATTTGTTAGCGCCATTATCCAATTAAAAAGCATGTGTGAGAAAGTATGCCCAGGAATTCATAAAGTTATCACCAGAATCCTCCCTGAGATAATGAGCTGTACAAGAAGGCAGGCAACAAAAACCTACCCTCTAAAAGCATGTGTA